ACCATTATCAAATTGACATTTACCATCTTTATCAAAGTTAAAACCATCGTTATCAAATTATCAGGCATTTACCTCAACTTTTCAAGTGTTTCGTAAACCAACTCAAATTTGTTTTAAGCTTAAAGTTATTATGGGCACCGATTGTGGATTCGGTTTATTGGAGGCGATTGGGACGTCGAAAATCGTGGATGGTGCCGTGTCAGTACCTGATCGGTATATTCATGTTGGTTTTATCGTATAAAGTGTCCGATATCATGGGCGAGAACGGATCTCAAGGTTATTCACAATGTTTTCATTTGTTTCTGTTTGTTCATTGTACATTTGAAATCGTTTCTCGGTGATCATATCTTCTTTATTCAATTATTCGACAACAGATTGCTACTTTCATTATGAATTTTCATTATGTCCAGTTTTTTCATTATGAATTTCGAATTCATTCGGAGTTGTTCAATGTTCATTTTACAGCCGGTAAAGCACCGAATGTACTGTTTTTGATGTTTGTATTTCTTCCACTCAATTTTTTGGCCGCCACTCAGGATATTGCCGTTGATGGGTGGGCATTGACCATGCTGTCCAGGTAATTTGCCCAGAAGTTGAATTTGCTCACGTGTTATCTTCATTTTTATGCCGTATTGATGCAGGGAAATGTTGGTTTGCCTCAAAGAAAAGTTCCAAAAAATACGGAGGTTTAAATCCGAATTAAATGTGTTACACTTGCCAAACCATCGCGTGATTTTGCGGAATCGTTACGTTTTATGTTTATCAACTGCCACTAACCAACGTTCACAAACCAAAATGTTACATTAACCAGCACTCCGCATACACCCTGACTGCTCTGCTCATGAATCGATTTTTTATTAACTTTTACAGTATTTATCTTTATCCGTCAATAAGTGAGGCACAACAAGATTAGAAAGTGATTTCCGTAACTTGATAAGATGATGGTGATAACAAAAAAAAGATATGCTATGTAAGTAAGTAACATAGAAATGATGATGTGATTTCAGGAAGAACGTAGGATATGCATCGACTTGCAATGCAGTCGGTCAAACGGCTGGTTTCTTTCTAGGGAATGTCGTTTATTTAACACTTGATTCGCCGGATTTTGCCAATCGATTCTTTAGGAGTACACCACAACCATATGGACTCGTCTCACTGTCTGGTTGGTTTCATTCGAATTTGTTATTGGATTGCTCATTCAGTGTATTTGTTCATGGATGATTTGATTTTTATAATTTGATTCGATACGATTCGCGTACTTTATATAATTTATTCAGTTGTCATCAGACGATTCATAGTTTTTTGGGGGGAGAAACACATTTATTCATCACAGAATCTACATGCACTGCTCAAGTGACATAATCTATGCACGAAATACACAAAACTCGTTATGATTGATTGAATGTTTTTTCATTATGATCCAATAGTTTTCAATTTTCAATCTCTCGTTTTTGATGGTTCATACGCTTTCATCTGTTCGCTTCTTCGAACATATTTAGCAAAGAACAAATGTTGAAGCATTAGGTTAACTCGTTCTTCCCAACCAATAGAAGGTATCAAAGATCCTGAGCTCACATCTGAAAATACTATTTTTGATTTTTGATGTTAGCAGCTGAAAAATGCTACCTTATTTAGTGAAATGTCATCAGGCCGGAAAATTATACAAGAGTCGAAAAAATGAATCTTGTAAAGACAAGGGTGCAAGGTGGTGGATTTTGCTGAGAGCTTGTTTTTGTGGCAGTAAGCAATTTGAATAAAAGCAGTAATGAACTGACGTAGTGTTGCTGTACTGATCGTAGACGGCACTCATGCCATAGCCGCCTTTCTCGCTGATAATCACCGCACTCCACCAATATCCAAATCGACTCTCGGCTTGTTCTTTCATATATCTCGCTTGATAGCTGTATTGGTGCGGAAATAATCCTATCGTCTCCAATATCAGCTCTTTCAACTTCTCAGATTTGCAATTCTCTTCTGAAATATCAATTGCCATCGTTATGTTATCAATATTGGATGACATGATTAGGTAATTAGGGATATAAATCAAATCTAAGCCTGGCTTAAGCTTTGTAAATGTCTGTGACATTGACTGGTATTTGGTGCACCACTCAGTTTCTGATAGGGGTAGGGCACCGGAAAGGTAATAGGTAGGTGGTGGGTAGGTTCGATTTCCGCTTGTGGATGAAAATTTTGCTCGAAACCGATTGGTGTACCAATGTGATCGATATTGTTAAACGTTAATCTTTCTTTGGGTTGATGAACAGGTAAAAGAAAATGTCATCTATTCGAACTATTCCCGATCATGTCATCTGTCTACTCCACAGATTGCTCGGATATGATCGTGCGATAATATTTGTAGTTTTGCGATTACGCACAATATGACTATGTTTAGTGTTTGTTGGAACCTGGTGGTGAATGGTCTATGCAGCTCTGCGATAGATATTATCATATAGAAATGATATTCGTGAAGTTTACAAATAGTTTTATGATCAGTCACCTCCGTAGATATGTTGATTTGATGGTTTATTTTCATTGTCGTTGATACCGGATTGAGACTCTGATTCCGATTCAGTTCCTATTGTGGGCGATGAGGCAGCAGCTTTCTTTTGATTGAAATTCAATTTTCCTAAAAGGATTCTCGATTTTCGTATCTCATGAGAATATCAGCATATAATTATTATATTATTGTAATTGTCACTGTTAAGCTTATTGATCAACGAGCATGATTATCGATTGAAAATTGATAAAAAAGAAGTGAGTGATAAGTTAAATGAACTCACTGACCAGCTGCAACTGTTGTGCCACAGAAAGAGAAGTGATTATGCGATGAGAATGTGAATAGGAGATAAGAATAGATGAGAAGTAGCGATGGTAGACGGTTGTCGATGATAGGCAAATGATTAATCAGCATTTCGAATTTATTAGTTTTAAATAATGTTATTGTTGTGATTATTATTGTTGTTGTTGTTATTGTTGTTATTATGAATGTGGCCGTTGTATGAACAACATAAAGAGAGCAATATTCATATAGTTAAGAGCACTAAACAAATATCACTTTTCATTCATATTTTGTTATTTCGGTTTTTTTTTTCAAATGTTCGGATTGCTGCCGACTGACTCTTTAATGCGTTTTTGTTTTCGTTCACTGTTTCCACTCTCTTATCACACGATATCATATCATAGGCGAGAGTAGAGATAAATGAATGAATCAGTCCTCACCTATACATACACCTATTATCTAGATATGAACGTATGTAAGTAACGTATCATCTACCTAGCTACCTACATACATAACTATTTATTTGTTACAATTCCAGTGGTTTTAATATTTGAAACGTATCATTGATTATTCACATCGTTACTCGTATCTTATCATATTGTTGTTATTTGTGTGAATATCGTTATGATTAGCGCATTTTTGAGTAGCGAAGAAAACAAGAGTAAGGTAAAATGATAAAGCAATAAATGGCAATGAATGGAATAAGTAAATAAAAAAATGAGAAAGTGGTGGTTATGAATGTGGCCGTTGTTCATATCGTAATAGTTTATATTCATATTCGTCTGTGACAGAAATTACGCGCAAATGATAAGCAACACCATAAGATGTTTCGGCATTAGAATGCCATTACCAGCTGTAATATTGGTTGGGTGAAGAAGGATATTGAATTACTGAAACGGTTGCGATTTGTGACGGTGAATTTGCTGGGTAATGAAATGAGGAAAGCCGCGATTTGGATGAAGATACGGGGTGAATGGTGTAGAAGAATAATTATTTTAATGAATTATAATATTTGAAACGTGTATATAAAAAGGGTATGATGATGATGATTATAGAAGTGAGTTGAGATGGTAGTGAAAGCAACCTTTCAATGAAATAAAATAAAGTAAGTGAGGTAAGCATCTGGCAGGAGTTGACGAACTTTACTGCCGCCTTCACCTCATGTTTCATATTCATATTCGTCTGTCTGTGCATAATTTCGATCTGTCATTCGTTTATTCGAAATCGATGTTGGGGTGATCCATTACCCCCTCCCAAGTTGGAGTGATCCATTACCCCCTTCGATAGTCTGGCAGGCCGTCATTGCACCCACTCCCCCTCTCTCCTGCTACAGTGATACTATTGTTACGTATAACGTCAGAACTAATTTCCCGGCCCACTCCATTACCCCCTGACACCACCAGATTTTCCAAAAATGGGTAATATTCCTCCTACGGGGACCCCTGTTCTATGCATTACTATTTTCATTATCAGTTTGCTTGCTATTGTTTGGTTCACTGCTGTTATTATTAATGTGATCTTTTTACATTTCATCT